TTTTTTTTTTGTAGGAGAGACTGTGATGTCACATGGCTGCATTGAGCCAGATAAAGACACCATACGAGATGAACCCTACAGCCTCCCGCAGGGCTTCACCTGGGACACTCTCGACCTGGGAAACCCTGCAGTGGTACGACACACGAACCACTAAATCTCCCCTTTGATATCTTATACATACAAATATGCAGCTGTAAACAACTCAGTCTTAAAGCTGTTTTCTGTTTCCTCTCTCTGAAGCTGAAAGAGTTGTACACTCTCCTGAATGAGAACTATGTGGAGGATGATGACAACATGTTTCGTTTTGATTACTCCCCTGAATTTCTGCTCTGGTAAGAAAGTTTGGCTTGAAAAGTCTTCCCAAATTTGAGTAAAATGGTGTTTGTCTTTGAAGAGCTATCTGTTTATATCTGTTTTTTTTTTTTGTCTAAAAGTTAATTGAAATGTGTCCTCGTCTCTCAGTTTATCTGTACTCTGTTTTCGTCCCAGGGCTCTGCGTCCTCCAGGCTGGTTGCCTCAGTGGCATTGTGGGGTGAGAGTGAACTCTAATAATAAGCTAGTTGGTTTCATCAGTGCCATACCAGCCAACATCCACATCTATGAAATGTAAGCATTCATAAGTGTTTTTACATGTTGGTTTAAATGCACTAAAATCAGAATCCAGAAGTCCAGAAACACCTCAGCTGCCTCTAGTGGCAGTAGCACTGAGCTTTCAAACTTGTCGTGAAGCCAGCCATTACCCTCTGCTTATTCAACATGGGTAAAATGAATGATTAAAAGGATAGTTCACCCAAAAAAATGACAATTCTGTCTTCATTTACTCCTCTCAACTACTTGGCCTTTCTCTTTATTTATTCCTTCCCTTTCTAGCTTGTACTTATTTGAACAATGCTTGAAACTTGGTATTACGAGCACTTCTTGTGACTGTTTGCCTCTTTAAGAAGAATCGCTTTATGTATTCCCCAGTTGTAAGTCGCTTTGGATAAAAGCGTCTGCAAAATGACTAAATGTAGTGTATGAATATATCCACAGACCGCTTATGACCGCCAGTCCATCTGAAAGAAAAACTTTCTTTCTTTTGTAAGGCTAATCAAACTATTCAATGATTATAAACTATTATTTCTCATTTAATTATGTATAACTGACCATTTTTAAGAAAGACTGTTAAAATATTAACATTTTTACTGACCAATGTCACCAATCACATGAATGCAATGGTGTATCAGAGGCATTTAAATTAGTCTACACAGAGAGTGCTTATGTTGGTCACTCAGTTCTGTTGTTGACCCATATCTGCTCTTCGATTCTTCCAGAGAGAAGAAGATGGTGGAGATTAACTTCCTGTGTGTGCATAAGAAACTTCGCTCGAAACGAGTGGCTCCGGTACTCATCAGGGAGATCACCAGACGGGTCAACCTGGAGGGCATCTTTCAGGCTGTGTACACCGCAGGTGTGGTGCTGCCCAAACCAGTGGGCACCTGCAGGTAAGACACACATCTGCCCTCTTTTAATGACAAGTGCGTCTGTGCAGAGTGAAAGGTAGCATTAGGCTGCATTTACACTGGCACAAAAAATCCGATCTTTCGCTCACATCTGACACAGATCGGAATTTGTTGCGCACGTGTAAACACAAAAACCCGCACGAGATCAGATTTTTTTGCATCCAATCTGAGCCACTTCCAAATGTGGATTTTAATCGGATACACGTCTGATATCTGGACATCCGACCTACGTCTAAACACACATCCGATTCTCCACAGAACTCCCAATGTGAGGGCGACACGTTTGCTCATAAAGATTTTTAATGGCGTTTTAATGCCGGCGTGCTGTATGTGCTCGCATTTTATTAAGATGGAAACTTTTTATAGGTAAGAAATTGCACATTCAGGACATTTTGCACATTTTGTAATTAAACCGACAAGCTTGTTTGCAATGCTTCACAATGGCTCGCTCGCACATGGGTGCATGCGTTCGTTCGTTCGTTCTCTCTCTCTCTCTCTCTCCTTCGAATTCATTTCAATAAATATCATCTTTATTTCACTAAATAATTCTACCTCTAACGAGCTGTAGATAAATTAGTCTAACAAATTAAAATTACCGTTATTTTCAGGTCTTTATCTCTTCAGTCAGATTTTGTGCTGCAAAACATCCATGACAGCCGTTGTCCATGCTGGCAAATAATAATGGCCATTCGACGTGAATTATATAAATAATTTTAAAAGCACGGCCATTTAAAACCCGAGGGTCTACCATGTGCATAGTAAAGCGATCACTGCAGACAATCCTTTTGGGTGGGAATTAATGTAAACACAGATATCGGATGCCAGTCGTGTCTATAGTGAATGTAAACAGACGTGCCAAAAAATCGGATATGGTCAAAAGATCGGATCTGTGCATTAAGACTTGCAGTGTAAACGCAGCCTTAGATGGGCTGTTGGGTGGCAGATGTGTTAGGCACTTTCGCACCGGAGGAACCTTTTCATAGTTCCTAGAACTATTGGCGGATGTTCCCGCTTTTTGTCGTGTTCACACTGCAGGAACTAGGAACGTATTTAGTTCTAGGAGCTCTGTTTGGGGGAACTAATTTAGCTCCTACTTCAGAGTAGGCACTAAAACAGTTCTATAGGAACTATCAATGATGTAAGTGTACGCTGATTGGCCAAACACATACAAAACACCGGCTACCCAGCATTTTTAAAACGCCGTCTAAAAATATTTACTCCACGAACATGGAAAGCAGTGATGATAACAGCATTTACCTGTTTGCAGCATTGTTCTTTTCTCAGCCTCGATGATAACACTACAAGTTGTCATAGGAGACTTAGTCAGATTTTCACGCTCTTTCAATCATGTAAATTGTGCGTTTACATTCCATCTCTGCTATCACGAAACCCAGGACACGCAATAAAAACAGCTCCGATCACGGTGTCATCCATTCACCGATTGCTGATGTTTGTAAATGCCGCTTCAGACTTCCTGCTGCCGGTGCGAATGCAATCAGGAAAACGGCCCTAGGGAGAAACTGGTTCTCTAGGAACGACCCTGCTGGCTAGTTCCTAGAACTATGCGGTGCGAAAGCGCCTGTTGCTAGCCTCGAATCCTCCCTCTGACACAAAATGACCTTGGTGCATAAAGATGCCTTATTCTGCCACATTTTATTTCTTTTTTTTTTTTACTAAAAGTATGCAATTTAGATTTTAGTGAATTTGGAGTGAAATAATACTTTTAGTCAGCAAGGATGCATTAAAGTGATTTAAAACTAACAGTAAAGACATTTGTAATGTTACAGAAGATTTGTGCTGTTATATTGAACTGTCTATTTATTGATTTCTGAAGGATCATGTGACACTAGACTGTAGTAATGGCTGCTGAAAATTCAGCTTTACCATCAGAAATAATTTACATTTTAAAATCTTTTCAAATAGAAAAAATTATCAGTTATAATTTGACAAAATCACTGTTTTCGTGGAGAACATAAAAGGCTTCTTACGAAAAAAAAACTGTACCAAGCCTGAACTTTTGAGAGGTAGCATATACGACGAAGTTTCCATAAATATTAAAATCTCAATAAAGTGTTATAGAGCTTTATTCTGTAATGACTAATAACTCCTATTAATCCAGCCTGATGTGTAGAGAAGTAACAATTGTCAAATGACTCACATGGCACTGTATCACACTAATTGCCTTGCTTATTTGTATGGTAGATACTGGCACCGGTCCTTGAACCCACGAAAGCTGATTGAGGTGAATGATGTAAGTGTACGCTGATTGGCCAAACACATACAAAACACCGGCTACCCGGCATTTTTAAAACGCCGTCTAAAAATATTTACTCCACGAACATGGAAAGCAGTGATGATAACAGCATTTACCTGTTTGCAGCATTGTTCTTTTCTCAGCCTCGATGATAACACTACAAGTTGTCAGGAGACTTAGTCAGATTTTCACGCTCTTTCAATCATGTAAATTGTGCATTTACATTCCATCTCTGCTATCACGAAACCCAGGACACGCAATAAAAACAGCTCCGATCACGGTGTCATCCATTCACCGATTGCTGACGTTTGTAAATGCCGCTTCAGACTTCCTGCTGCCGGTGCGAATGCAATCAGGAAAACGGCCCTAGGGAGAAACTGGTTCTCTAGGAACGACCCTGCTGGCTAGTTCCTAGAACTATGCAGTGCGAAAGCGCCTGTTGCTAGCCTCGAATCCTCCCTCTGACACAAAATGACCTTGGTGCATAAAGATGCCTTATTCTGCCACATTTTATTTATTTATTTTTTTTACTAAAAGTATACAATTTAGATTTTAGTGAATTTGGAGTGAAATAATACTTTTAGTCAGCAAGGATGCATTAAAGTGATTTAAAACTAACAGTAAAGACATTTGTAATGTTACAGAAGATTTGTGCTGTTATATTGAACTGTCTATTTATTGATTTCTGAAGGATCATGTGACACTAGACTGTAGTAATGGCTGCTAAAAATTCAGCTTTACCATCAGAAATAATTTACATTTTAAAATCTTTTCAAATAGAAAAAATTATCAGTTATAATTTGACAAAATCACTGTTTTCGTGGAGAACATAAAAGGCTTCTTACGAAAAAAAAACTGTACCAAGCCTGAACTTTTGAGAGGTAGCATATACGACGAAGTTTCCATAAATATTAAAATCTCAATAAAGTGTTATAGAGCTTTATTCTGTAATGACTAATAACTCCTATTAATCCAGCCTGATGTGTAGAGAAGTAACAATTGTCAAATGACTCACATGGCACTGTATCACACTAATTGCCTTGCTTATTTGTATGGTAGATACTGGCACCGGTCCTTGAACCCACGAAAGCTGATTGAGGTGAAGTTCTCTCACCTGAGTCGAAACATGACTATGCAACGCACCATGAAGCTCTACCGACTGCCAGAGGTGTGTGCCAGCCTGCTTCCCTGGGTAATATCTGGGTCGTTTTCTTTTTTCCTTATTTTCTTATTGCATGTTTCTCTGCTGTAGGCTCCTAAGACTTCAGGCCTCAGGCCGATGACTGTAAAGGATGTGCCAGCAGTTCACCGCCTGCTGAAGGAATATCTGAGTCTGTTTAACCTGGTTCCCGTCATGAGCCCTGAGGAGGTCCAACACTGGCTGCTTCCTCAGGAGAATATCATTGACACCTTTGTAGTGGAGGTATTGCGCTCACTGAACCCTATGGCATGTATCATCCTAGTGATCTCAAACATGAAAGTGTTTATGAAATCGGAATGGACAATCAGTTTATTTCTGCAAAATGTATTTGATGTGAACAGCTTGTCCTTTGTATCATTGTAGAATTCAGACGGGAAGCTGACTGACTTCCTGAGTTTCTACACTCTGCCGTCCACCATCATGAACCATCCTGTGCATCGCAGTCTGAAGGCTGCGTATTCCTTCTATAACGTACACACCACCACCCCCCTGCTGGACCTGATGGGAGACGCTCTTATCCTCGCCAAGTCGGTCAGTCAGTGAAAGCATGTTTGTATGTATGTATGCTGCAACTAATGATTATTCGCATAATCAATTGTGTTCAATGAATTAAATTAAAACTCACAAATTTGCATTTATATCCCAAAAGAAGTCAAATAAAATCCTGCCCAATGTTGTCTTCCAAACAGTGTGGCACCAATGAAAGTGAATGTAGTGATTATCTATGAAGGCTGCGATATACATTGTGCAAAAAAGGGTTAACATCTAAACATTACATCCTAAATCTTTTTTCCTGTGCGCAGGCGCAATTAATTGATAAGTTTGTTTAGGGGTAGGCAATATGACCAAAATCTTATTAATTTAACAAAGTTATATTATTTCATGGTAACGATATACAGTATATCACACTATAGCCAGCAGCCACATCACCCTGTAGCCCAAGACTGGTTGCCCACTGAAGCTAAGCAGGGTTGAGCCTGGTTAGTACCTGGATGGGAGACCTCCTGGGAAAGCTAGGTTGCTGCTGGAAGAGGTGTTAGTGAAACCAGCAGGGGGTGCTCCAGTACAGCGATGGGGACACTATACTGTCAAATAAGCACGGTCCTTCGGATGAGACTTTAAAATGATGTCCTGACTCTCTGTGGTCATTAAAAATCCCAGGATGTCCTTCGAAAAGAGTAGGGGTGTAACTAGGGCTGTGCAAAAAATCAAATGCGATTTTCATGCTCATCTCGTCAGTAAAGCCGGTTCTGTGATTAGTAGTAAATCTCCAGTACGTGCTTTCAGATGGAGCAGCATTAACTACACAGAGCCGGTTAAACAAGAATAAGGAACTAATTACAAGCAATTGGACAAAAAAAACTACAGTAACAAATAAATAAGAAATGCTACATACATTGTATAAAGTAATCAAATGAATAAAAACACTGCGTGTACTTCTGTGTAAATAAAATATATCTATTTCTTCTCATTAAAGTTACAAAAGTGATTTAGTCAAGAGCAGTGAGAGATTTCCTCTCTTTTGTTGTTTGATTAACATGAATAACAGACAGCAGCAATATTAGACTGCTGTCACTTTAAAGGGGTCATATGATGCGATTTCAAATTTTCCTTTGG